GAGTGAACTCTCTAGAAGAGAGAGTGAACTCTCTACAGGAGAGTGAACTCTCTAGAGGAGAGTGAACTCTCCAGAAGAGAGAGTGAACTCTCCAGAAGAGAGAGTGAACTCTCCAGAAGAGAGAGTGAACTCTTTAGAGGAGAGTGAACTCTCTAGAGGAGGAAATTCTCTTGAGTGAACTCTCTAGAAGAGAGAGTGAACTCTTTAGAGGAGCGTGAACTCTCTAGCGGAGAGAGTGAACTCTTTAGAGAGTGAACTCTCTAGAGGAGAGTGAACTCTCCAGAAGAGAGAGTGAACTCTCCAGAAGAGAGAGTGAACTCTCCAGAAGAGAGAGTGAACTCTCCAGAAGAGAGAGTGAACTCTTTAGAGGAGAGAGTGAACTCTCTAGAGGAGGGAACTCTCGACAGAGGGACCTCCCAGGAGCTCCCACTGTCAGCGAGGGGCGCTTTCCGCCAGCAAGCAGTTGCAGGTGCTGCGCCTTCGTATCCCTCACACTGGCACTGCCCGTGCATTTGCACGGGACACACGGCCGAGGTGGAGGGTGGAGGGGGTTGGGAGGAAGGGACGTGATGACGTCAGCTCGAAGCACGCAAATGTGTGCGGTGACATCATCCACTCACCAGCCAGCCAGCAAAAATGTTTTTTTTTGTAATGATATGTAGTTTTAAATATCGCGTCCTCGTGGTCCACGTAAAATTGCATCTCTTTCACACTCGCTAGAGGAACCAGCAGCAGCAGCCGGGCAGTAACGAGCCGGTGCTCACCAACCATTGCCCGAGCTCAGCGATCCTCTCTCTCTCTATGTATATATCTAATTAATGAGTGCGTGCGTGCATTTGAACGTGTCAGAGGAAATCGGAGCAAGGAAACTCAAACCCCACACATAGAGAGAGATAATCGGGATTGGAATCGCGATTCACGCGCAGAGACGATCACCTAACAAGTTACCTGCCTCGCCCACAGGCCACGAGTAATCACGATTGAGGCGCAACTTAAATCGACTTATCGATTCACTTAACCCCCCCCCCCCCCCACATTGCTCGGAATGTAGTGGGGGAGGGGTGCTAATCGATTACGCGCGAAGGATCTATGAATAGATTCCGATAGAGCGCACGTTATTAGGAGAGTTCCAAGGTGAACTTAAACGGATCGATAAATGATCTATTCGTCGTTACGCGCGCTTTAACGATTATTGGATTCTACTTCGGAGAGAGAAAGAGACAGGCGGGGAGAGGGGAGAGAGAGGGCGAGATATTGAGGGGAGGGAATGAGGGAGATGGAGGGAGAGAGAGGGACGAAATGATGAACGGAGCAAAGTGCCGACTACACCGAGCATCTTCTTGTTTCCTCTGATCGTAAAAACACAAAGAGGGAATTAGGGGAGGGAATGAGGGAGAAGGAGGCAGAGGGAATGAGGGAGAGAGAGAGGGATGGAATGAGGGAATGAGCGAGAGGGAAAGAGAGGGAATGAGGGAGGGGGGGGGGTACGAGGGAGCGGGAGGAAGAGGGAGAACGTGGGAGAGAGTGAGGGGAGTAATGAGGGAGACAGATCCGAGCGAGAGGTGGTAAGGGATCAAGTGAGAGAGTGAGGGGTATGATATTGCGACTGTTGCAGTTGGCGAAGCTGCTCGCCCATTGGGTCGCCAACCCGCGGCTCCGGCGCCGCGTGCGGCTCTTGAAAGACTGCTTTGTGACGTCATTTATTCAGGACCTCCACCACCGTCTCGTACTCGTCACCACAGTGGTATTGCGGCTCTTGTAATATTGAGTTGTTGTTTACCGAATTCGAATTTTTAAAAATGTCTCTACTTGTTAGTTCGGTTGCGTGACCTGCCACGGCCACCACGATCGCCACCACAGAGTTCACAGTGGCCGTGTCAGGCTCGCTGAGCCACCCACCGCTGAGCCCTGCGCTCCAGACCGAGTGTCACAGCCCCTGTGGGTGACCAGGCCGGGTGACCAGGCCGGGTGTCACAGCCCCTGTGGGTGACCAGGCCGGGTGACCAGGCCGGGTGTCACAGCCCCTGTGGGTGACCAGGCGGGTGACCAGGCCGGGTGACCAGGCCGGGTGTCACAGCCCCTGTGGGTGACCAGGCTGGGTGACCAGGCCGGGTGTCACAGCCCCTGCGGGTGACCCGGCCGGGTGACCAGGCCGGGTGTCACAGCCCCTGCGGGTGACCAGGCCGGGTGACCAGGCCGGGTGTCACAGCCCCTGCGGGTGACCAGGCCGGGTGACCAGGCCGGGTGTCACAGCCCCTGCGGGTGACCAGGCCGGGTGACCAGGCTGGGTGTCACAGCCCCTGCGGGTGACCAGGCCGGGTGACCAGGCCGGGTGTCACAGCCCCTGCGGGTGACCAGGCCGGGTGACCGGGCTGGGTGTCACAGCCCCTGCGGGTGACCAGGCCGGGTGACCGGGCCGGGTGTCACAGCCCCTGTGGGTGACCAGGCCGGGTGACCAGGCCGGTGTGCTCGGTGGCAGTGCGTTGGTGCTCCCTCGCACCGCTCGCCCAGACTGCACAAGAAGTCATCGGGAATCCCCCGTTGACAAATCCCGATGAATCCGAGCTGCGAGTAAAGCGCACGCGGTGTTTTGTGTCCGAGTCGAACTTCCGCTGAGCCGAGCTCCCCCACAGTCGAGCGCCCCCCACCCCCCATCCGACCCCGTCTAGGTGGGGGTAAGAGGCGATTGAAATCGGGGCACCGCTAGTAGTTCTGTCAGCTCCTCTTCTGCGGACACCGTTGTCTCACTCAAAACCGGACTCGTCTTCATGGCAACGTGGAGCCGAGGTGACATTTGGAAGAGGGAGTGAAAATCTGCATCACCAGCAGCAGCGTCCCGCCGCTCTGGATAAATTGATCCAGGCAACTCAACGTAAAATTACCGTGATTCTCCCAATGTATTGTTTGTCCTTGAGCGCGGCCGCTGATCGCCACCGGAACACTGAGCGCCTATCAGAGAGCATACGGTAGAGACTATCTGGTCCTGTTAGGAGAGGGACGCTGTGATGCTGGTGCGTTGAGACAGGTACAGCGTGTCGGCAGAATCGCCCAAACAGAGATCAATAATTGAGATTGTGATGAATGATTCCTCAGGAATCTCGGTGGGAGACGGGAGGGACGGAGGGCGGTGAGATGCGGTGGAACTCGGGAGAAGAGGAATAATGGGATGCGTCGTTCCCGTGATGATTGTGTCGATATCTTCACGTGGTCGGGTTCTCGTTTGATTTTGTTTCATTTTACGAACACACATACACACACACATACCTACACACATACAAACACATACACACATACACACACATACCTACACACATACACACACACATACACACATACCTACATACATACCAATACACATACAAATTCATACACAAACACATACACACATACCTATACACATACATACACATACACAAACACATACCTACACAGATACCTATACACATACATACACACATACCGACAAACATACATACACATACCGACACACATACACACACATACACACACATACACACACCTACACACATACATACATACACACATACATACATCTTCATACATACACACCTACGTACATACACACATACACATATCCCTAAATACACACATACATACATACACATACCTACAAGCACATACATACATGCATACACACTTACAAAGACAAATATACCCCTTATACTGTAGCCTTAACAGACTGTTGAGGCAAGTGCTGTTAGCGAGCAGCACCTATGAAGGTCGACACCGCACACGAAGGGGTGGGTGGCCAACACCACGCCCGGCCGCCTTTGTCTCCCCAGTGGCTATGTTTACACACCGAATCAGGTACTCATTTGATGCTGAGTCGACCTAGAGGAGGCCCAGGACCGGTTCATATAATCGTCACCGGTGTTGGCCGTGAGTGGGAATCAAACTCGGGTCGCCGGGTTTGTAGCGCGGCGTAGCGCTAACCGCTACACGCATACACACACACAAGGCTAACGCACACCTACACTCATACAGAACACACGCACAGACGCATTCGCATGAATACACGCGGGCGAATAGGAAGGCGAGTTTCTACCCTCTACAGACACACACACAGACATGCACACCACAGGCACACACACATACACGAGCACAGACACACACACAGACACACACAGACACACACACAGACACGCACACAGACACACAGACACACACACAGACACACACACAGACACACCACAGGCACACATACACGAGCACAGACACGCACACAGACACACACACAGACACATACACACACAGACACACAGACACACACACAGACACACACACAGACACACACACAGACACACACAGACACACAGACACAGACACACAGACACAGACACACACACAGACACATGGGTGAGGCGCAGCGAGGGGCAGGCTCACGCAGCCAGCCGCCCGCTCTCTCCCCATCTCCCCAAACTCTCCCCTGCTTCACGCGCTCTCCCGTCCATCTCCCGGCTCCGGGTTTCCCTCCTCTCCCATCTCCCCGCTGCATCCTTCACCCTGCTGCTGCTGCTGCTTCTCCTGCCGCTGCTGCTGCTGCTGCGAGATGGTTGAATCACCACCACTGCTGCCACCTACACTACCACCTGCAGCATCATCACCTCCAGTACCACCACCTCCAGCACCACCTCCAGCACCACCACCACCACCACCTCCAACACCACCTCCACCACCACCTCCAGCACCACCTCCACCACCTCCAGCACCACCACCACCACCTCCAACACCACCTCCAGTACCACCTCTAGTACCACCTCCAGCACCACCACCTCCAGCACCACCTCCAGCACCACCACCTCCAGCACCACCACCTCCAGCACCACCTCCACCACCTCCAGCACCACCTCCACCACCACCACCTCCAGCACCACCACCTCCAGCACCGCCTCCACCACCTCCAGCACCACCACCACCTCCAGCACCACCACCTCCAGCACCACCACCACCTCCAGCACCACCACCTCCTCCACCACCACCTCCAGCACCACCAGTGGAGTGGTTGTAGAGGCCCTGCGCCATGAGGTAGAGTGCGAGGGCGTTCTTCACGCCGCTCGCCTTCTTGATCTTGGCGCGCTTGTTCTGGAACCAGATCTTGATCTGCGCCTCATTCAGCCGCAGCTCCCGCGCCAGCGCCGTGCGCCGCTCCTCCGTGAGGTAGCGCGACGCCTGGAACTCGGCGCGCAACCGGCACAGCTGCTCCCCCGTGAAGGCCGTGCGCGGCCTCTTGTCCTCACGAGCGTCGCCTCCACCTCCACCACCACCTCCTCCTCCACCTCCTGCTGCTGCTGCTCCACCTCCTCCTGCTGCTGCTCCACCTCCTCCACCGCCGCTGCCACCGCCGCCGCCACCTCCTCCTCCTCCCTTCTTCTTGCTCTTGCGCGTGCGGGGACCTGGGGTGCGAATGGAGAGGGTGAGGGGTGGTGAGGGGTGGTGAGGGTGAGGGGTGGTGAAGGTGAGGGGTAGTGAGGGGTGGTGAGGGGTGGTGAGGGTGAGGGGTGGTGAGGGTGAGGGGTGGTGAGGGTGAGGGGTGGTGAGGGTGAGGGGTGCTGAGGGGTGAGGGGTGAGGGGTGGTGAGGGGTGGTGGAGGGTGAGGGGTGGTGAGGGGTGGTGAGGGGTGGTGGAGGGTGAGGGGTGGTGGAGGGTGAGGGGTGGTGATGGGTGGTGAGGGGTGAGGGGTGGTGGAGGGTGAGGGGTGGTGGAGGGTGAGGGGTGGTGATGGGTGGTGAGGGGTGAGGGGTGGTGGAGGGTGAGGGGTGGTGGAGGGTGAGGGGTGGTGAGGGGTGGTGAGGGGTGAGGGGTGGTGGAGGGTGAGGGGTGGTGGAGGGAGAGAGGAGTAATGAGATAGTGAGAGGAGAGAGATAAGGGGAGTGAGATAGTGGCAGGTGAGAGGGAGTGAGAGGCAGGGGAGAGGAGGAGAGAGATGAAGACGAAGAGCGACAGGCGGAGCGTGTGAGACTCATAAACAAAGACAATGATCCCCCATAGCCATTCACAGACTGTTGGGGCAAGTGCTGTTAGCGAGCACCTATGAAGGCTGGAACGGCAAACGAGGGGGTGGGCGGCCAGCGCCACGCGCGATCGCCTTTGTCTGCCCAGTGGCGATCTTTAAACACGATCTTTGAGGCTGACTCGACCTAGGGGAGACCCAGGTCCGGTTCAAATATTTGTCATTCGAGCTGGCCATGAGCAAGAATCGTAGCGCGGCGCGCTAGCTGCTACACTTCCCCTCCCCATACGCATAAACACACAAACACATAAACACACAAACACATAAACACACAAACACATAAACACACAAACACCTAAACACAAACACATAAACACAAACACACAAACACACAAACACATAAACACAAACACACAAACACATAAACACCCATACACACACCCATACACACACAAACACATAAACACACACATATAAACATACACAAACACATAAACACGCAAACACATAAACACACAAACACATACACACAAACACATAAACACACAAACACATAAACACACATACACACACCCACACACACATACACACAAACACATGCACACGAACACTCGCACAATCGCGCACACATGGAGACACACACACAGGGGAGCCTCTGTGATCAAGATAACGTCTCCCCGTCTCCCCATCTCTCCTGTCCCTCCCACACCTCTCGTCTCCCACCACCCTCCCCATCACCCCCCGTCTCCCCCATCTCTCCTGTCCCTCCCACCCATCTCGTCTCTCCATCCCCCACCGGACGAGGCTGAGATGGCCTTCATCCCCCGCGTCCCAGGGCAGAGGGACTTCGCGACCCCCACCACCACCAGCGGCAAAGGGGCAGCCCTGCAAGTGCGCTCTCTCTCCCTGTCTCTCATGCGCGCAGCTCCCTGGCCACAGCGACTCCGGCAAGCTACTGAAGCTCCGAGGCTGCAGGAACGTGCCCCTGAAGAGCACCCCGAACACAGCGCTCTACACGTGCTGTGTCAAGGCGCTGCATTCCCGGGACCTGGCTGACCTACCGGACACAAAATGGAGAGACCATTTCTACCCCCGTCATTGCGGCCGCCCCCCAGTGGAAACAAATGTACAAGTCTCCCGTAGCCAAACGCTGCGGTGACCTCCAGTGGAGATTGGCACACTGCACGTTGCCATCGGCCGTGTAGCTCAGCCGAATCTCGCCGGGGGTAACAGATTTGTGCATTTCCTGCGGTGCCAGGGATGATCTGCCCCACCAGTACTTATGCTTCCAGCACATCAAAGCAATGTTCTGCCTTTTGGGGGACATCTTCAGGAAACTGGGGGTGCCCTTCTACAACAGCAGCTTCGTATATGGGGTGCCTTACCTGGCTAACAAGCGCCATGACCTCGCCAACTTCGCCTGTGCTCAGACGAAGTTGGCGGTTTACAGAACGAAGAAAAAGATGCTGCAAGGTGACACTGACGGCTGCTCCGTGCTTCCAGTGTTTGGGGGCCTGCTCAAGGCGCAGCTCCGGCTGGAGCACGCGTACCACACACATGCCGGTGATGTGCAGCGCGCCTTCTTCGAACGCTGGAGGGCCAGAAAAGTCTCTCTCTGTACCAGCGTGGACGGCACCCTTATGTTCACCTTCTGAAGCGCTCGCTCATCGCCGTGGCGTGCGCGATGACCACCACCACGTGACTTTTCTTTCGTGTTGAGCGTGGCGCATTTAGCGCCACACCACGTGGATTTATAGCGTGTGTTATTTAATTGCTGGTGACTTTGTGTATTTCCTATCGGAATCGCCTCCAGTGCTGTTGCTGCTGGCGGCAATAAAAGTTGTTTGAAAGTCAAAAGTCGCCCCCCCCCCCTCTCCCTCTTTCTCCCCGTCTCTCTCGCGCGCCACTGTTGGCGCCAGCGCCTCCACGAGAGGGCGCTTCCAGAGAGGACGCCCTCGGCCTACTCTTCCATGCTCATCCGGTTGTCTTGGGAGAGGTGGCAGTGCCCACGCTTTACCCCAACGCAGGCGAACCGCCGATGATCGTAACCCTGACCGTGGTGAAAACCCATTCTTGCTGCCGACTGGACAGGGCCCTGGGTGGATTTAACTGCCGCGCCGGGAGATGGAAACGAACCAGGGGGGCCCTGCATCCAGTGGTACTGTTAGATCAGGGCTCGGCCACCAACATAACAAGAAGAGGCATTTATATTTGAATTCTGTGAACAACCCCCTCTCAATATTTCAAGAGCCGCGATGCCACTGTGGTGATGAGCGCGAGACAGTGGGTGGGTCCTTAATAAATGACGTCACGAAGCAGCCCTTAAAGAGCCGCACGCGGCTCCGGAGGCGCAGATTGCCGACGCCTGGGCTAAACCATCAGACCACAGGGGGCGTCATCCTAAAGAGGCTCAAGCACCACCCCGCTCGTTACACCACCCCGCTCGTTACACCACCCCGCTCAAGCACCACCCCGCTCGTCACACCACCCCGCTCGTCACACCACCCCGCTCAAGCACCACCCCGCTCGTTACACCACCCCGCTCGTTACACCACCCCGCTCGTTATACCACCCCGCTCGTTACACCACCCCGCTCGTCACACCACCCCGCTCAAGCACCACCCCGCTCAAGCACCACCCCGCTCGTTACACCACCCCGCTCAAGCACCACCCCGCTCAAGCACCACCCCGCTCAAGCACCACGACTCAGAGAGAGAGAGAGAGGACGACTCAGAGAGAGAAAGGACGACTCAGACAGAGAGGACGACTCAGAGAGAGGACGATTCTGAGAGATGATGACTCAGAGAGAGAGGACGACTCAGAGAGAGAGACAGAGGATGACTCAGAGAGAGAGAGATGATGACTCAAAGAGAGAGAGAGACTTTTAAACCAATTTTATTGCTGCCAGCAGCAACAGCTCTGGAGCCACTTTAGATACGGGGTCACCAACATCGAGTACAGCGACGTCGCCATTGCAACACCGCGGCACGTGCGCCACACCACCACGAGCAATGCAAGCACCGTGTCGTCACGCACATCGCCTGCTTGAAGTCGACCGGTCAAAACGTGAAAGTCAGTGCACCGTTTGTGTTGGTGCAGAGGGCCTGACCGCCCCCCCCCCCCCCCCAAACGTTCAAGGAACACGGCGTGCGCGTCATCGTCATAGGAGTGGTACGCGTGCTCCAGCCAGAGCCGTGCCTTGAGCAGGCCCCTCAACATCGCCACCGCTGAGCAGCCATCGTCCTTGTCACCTTGCAGCTTCTTTTTCCGGGTTTTGTAAACTGCCATCTTTGCTTGGGCGCAGACAAAGTTTACAAGATCGTGGCTCTTAATTGCCAGGTAAGGCACCCCGTAGATGAACCAGCTCTTGTGAAAGGGCACCCCCAGTTTATTGAAGATGGATCCCAAGAGCCGGAACATTGGGTTCAGCCGTGGACACCCCAAGTACCGGTGGGCCAGATGCTTCTTCGCACCGCAGAACGCGCACAGATCTGATGACCCTGGGGTGATTTTGCTGAGCCACACGGCCGAGGGTAGCGTCCAGCGTGCCAACCTCCACTGGAGGTCCCCACAGCGTTTCGCTACGGGGAGCTTGTACAAGTGATTCCAGTGGGGGGTAGCCTCGATCAATGAAGAGAAAAAAGTCCCTCCATTTCATGTCCGGGAGGTTTGCCAGGTCTTGACGCAGCACGCGTACAGCGCTTTTCTTTGGGACACTCTTGAGGGCCATGTCTCTGCAGTCTGCGAGTTTGAGCAGCTTCCCTGAGTCACAGTACCCGGGAGGCTGGATGCAAGAGATGCGCAGCTCCGGGAAGGAGGAGGAAGGTCGTGCGGTGCCGCTGTCTTCAGGTGCCTCCAGCTTCGGCTGCAGCTCCCGCATTACTGTGAACGCCTCCCTCAACAGCTTCTCTCCGGCGAGCATACAGTGGAGTCCTGCAGTGCCGCTGATCTCGGCCGCGGTCTTCCACTTGGGGTGATGGTTGTGGCTCTTCACGAAGTCGCCGACCGTCCGCACCCCTGCCGAGGTGAAACGGAGGGCCAGCGTTCTCTCCTCCCTGATTCCTTTGAAGAGGCTATTACAGAACAGGGGTTCGTGCATGAAATGTTTGAGGGCACAGTGCGGGCTCACCCTGCTCCATTCAAGGCTCTGCCATGTGTCCAAGAGGTTTTGATAATACCCTGGCAGCCTCGTGTAGTCGACTAGGGCCAGGTCCAACAGGAAGAGCTCCCTCCCGTACCCCAGGCACCCCCCCCCCGTGTCTCTCAGCAGGCTGAGGGATGGCAACGTCCAGGGCAGCTCCTCCTGTTCATACAGCAGACGCCTCACGGCCTGAAGCCTGAAGCCCATCATCCTGGCGGAAACATCCACCAGGCCCTGGCCTCCCTCACCCACCGGCAGGCAGAGGGCCCCTGGCCTCAGCCAGTGCTTGCCGTGCCACACAA